TGAACATTAGCCGAACATTAGCCAAACATTAGCTGAACATTAGGTGAACATTAGCCGAACATTAGCCAAACATTAGCTGAACATTAGGTGAACATTAGCCGAACATCAGCTAAAAACAGGTTGTGTCCAAATTCAGAGGTCGCGTCCTCTGAAGGCCAAATCTGTGCAAATCCGAAGACTCCTCCAATGCGGCCGACAAATGCGTCCTCCTTTGTCCCCGATTAGAAGGACGGGTCTGATGGATCCTTCTCGGACCACCGTATCCCATAATGCATTGCAGGCCGACTGGAGATTTTTTTTCTGCTTGTAATGGTGGACAAAGCAAGAGAAAGGAGTTCAGTTTTTAATAAAAATCTGGAGGTATAAAAATGAAAAGTTCCAAGCATGTGAGGTGCGAGGGAGCAGGCAAAACTCCAACGTTCAAAAACAAAGTATTTAATAAACAAAAGATGGCTGTCGTGGCAGCAAAATGTACAAACTCCACTCGGGAGGAACAGGCACGAGGAACACAGAGCGACACTACACTGACTGTGTAGGGGTCACCTCGAGTGAAAAACTGTCTCAGACTCTCAGTCCTCTGATGGGCCTCTAATAGGACAAGAACTCTGGTCCACTCTGAACTGAACTGAGGCCACCTCAGGTCACCTTAACCTTTCAGAGAGACATTCTCTTCCCTTTTAATCAGATAATAAACAGAAGAATCTTCTTATTATTTTATTTATTGTTCTCTTAACTCAAAGTATTACACATTTTGATAATCAGAGAATGTTTATCAAAGTTACAGGAGAAGAGAGGACAGATCTCTTTTCTCCCTCAGTATGATTTCAGCTATGTATGGTTTTTCTGTGGGAAAAATTCTTATTTAACTAAAATAATCTTTATGGTTTAAGTTGATGAAATATCAATGTTTTACTTGTCTGAATCATATTTACAAATGTTTTGAACTTGAAACAACTCATTTTTCTTTCAGTTATGTTTTAAATAAGTGCTCATCAGATAATAATTAATATACGTAGGTCATGAAATGTGTTGTTCTGAACCACACAGCAGCAATAATCTTGTTTAGTTTCAGGAGGCACAGCGAGTTCTGAAACTAACACTTTCCTTGATAACTCCTTTACTAATCTGACCTTCCGGAGGGCGGAACTTAGATTCTCTAAGCTTCTCAGTAACTAACAGTTTCCTCCTGGACGTGACGGACCGCCGTCAGTCACTCTGACAGCTAGACTCTCTGGGAGTCAGAGGCTGAGCTGTGACAGGTTTCAGCCCTTCACACCAATGAGGAAACCTCACAGCCTGGATGACCAACGCCTGGTTTATCCAACTTCAGAAACTCTCCAGACAGAAGTTTTATTTTGAAGCATGGGTTCCAGTAGAGGCTTTGCCTTTTTCTACGGCCGACGTGGACGCCAAGCGAGTCTGGAAAAAACGTTTGAGGGTCACTCTGGTGGACAATCCTGAGCAGATTTTCTCAGCAGAAGCCCCAACATAGCTGGCAGGTGACAGAACATCATCTCAAGGTAAAAGCTGGCTGTGTGTGACGTCGAGGTCTGACCGAAGCTGAGCACAGAACGCTTCGCCCTTCTGGTTAAAACCCACATTATTTAAGATAAAGTGTAGGAAAGCTAACATCTTTCTTCCTCCTTTTTCTTAAACTCTTCCTTGCCAACCCTAAGATAAACAGCCTCAAATTATCTGGTATAAAACATCAAAGCTAGACGTTTGTGTTTCTATTTAAGTGTGGTTAACAATTAAAAAATTAAAAGCTTGTTATTGTTGGTCCAAAAACTTTTATAGGAAATTAATTGTTCACAATCAAGTGTACTTTAGTGATTCTGTATGATCTGTAAAATAAATGATCGCAGTATTTATGGATCAAATCAACATTCACTGACTGAGAATCACTTCTTGTGTCCATTCATTTTTGCACTAGAGGAAAGTTTACCCAAAATAAAAGAGATCCTTGCTAAAGGTTATGTTCCTTATGACTTGGTTTATAACCTGTTATAAGAGTGTAAGATTGAACTCTTACATCTGAAAACAGCACAATGAACGGACAAACACTGAAGATGGGACACAAAATATAAAGGGAGAACTAAATCAGACAACAAGAAACACCTGGAGGAGAAATAAGAGGAAACAGGTGAGCTAGGGCGGGGCTGGAGGAATGACAGACAGCAGGGCAGAGATACACAGGGGAACACAGAAACACTAGAAAACTAAGGCAGAAAAGACAGATTGTGACAAAGCGGTTGTGTTATTAAAGCTTTTATCATGTGTATAGATGTGTTAATATTCTTGTCAGAAATCAAACAGCTGGTAGAGAAATAAACATGCACCTACAGCAGGTCCATTAGTTTTTTAAATATTACCTTTAAGTTAATGTTATTTTGTGATAATAATGATGCTAATATATTGATATTTTTCTAATTTTGATCTAATTTTGCTTCTGTTTAGCGCAGTCAGGTTTGCTAGGTGACAGGACATACACCAGGGTGAGGACTGGAGGCTAGACCGTCCAAATTCCCAGACACTTTTTTTTGGTCTTTGCGGCCCACGTAGGTCAGGTCTTTTGGAGGACCCAGCCTCTGAATTTGGACACAGCCATAGACTCACCTTCACTCCGGCTCCGGACTCGGACTTGAACTTGTCCTGGAAGGACCTGAGCATGGCTGTGTTGAAGTACGTGGGCTCAGATAAATTCAGGGTCATGACCTTCTTCAACACGTCCTCGCTGTAGCCCTCGAAGTTGAAGTCATCCAGGACGCGCCCGTCGCGTTTCACCAAGCGGTACGCCAAGTTGGTGCTGATGGGCTTGGTGGTGCAGCACAGGCGCGGGACTAAAGAAAGGTACTGGGCGATCTCTGGGAGGAAGGCCTGCAGCTTTGAATGACCGCTGGTCAGCACCTCACTGGGAGCAGCTCGTCTTCGAGAGATATCGAAGCCCATGGCGATGTCGATGGTGCAGTCTGCAGGAAAGCAGAGTTCTGGTTGGAGAAGTCCCAAAGAAAAATACTTCGGCTGAAACTCTTCACTCACCTGAAACAGTAGAAGGGACTTTGGACTTGCAGATGGTGTCGATCACCTTCTTCTTGATGGTCTTCAGGCTGTCAAAGTTCTCCACAGTGAACAGCCTCCTCGGATCACCGGTGATCTGCAGCAGCTCCAGATTGTGGACGTTTCCGATGCCGATGGCGAACATCTCGATCCCCAGAGATTGGAGATGAAGAGCCGCTTCCTCCACATCATCCTCAGAATCTCCATCCGTGATCAGAATCAGATTCTGGGAGATTGATTCAGCTTTGCGGCTGCCATGCAAAGCTTCAAAATAAGTCTTGATGGAGTCCAGGGCAACTCCGATTTTTGTTCCCCCACCCTTCTGCCACATCTTCTGGATGTGGTCGGACATCTCTGTCTCTGTGTAGAACCCGTCCAGGTAAAACTCGTCCTGAAAGCTGCTGGCGAACTGGGCGAGTCCAACGCGCACAAAATCCTTGCTGACATTAAAACTGTTTATCAGCTCAATGGTGAAGTTTTTCATCAAGGTGTAGTCATTTTGACTAATACTGCCAGACTGATCAAGGAGAAAAACCAGGTCGGCCTGCTGCTTCTCACAAACTGAGGAAACAACAAACAGGATCAGGACCTAGAAACATTTCTGCTGATTTTAGCTGCTCCAAAACACATTATTATAGTGTTGTTATGGTGTGGTATTATTTAGCATTGGAGAAACTAGCTTTAGCATTGATAGGCTGGCTTTAGCATTGAAGAGACTGACATTAGCATTAATAGGCTTGCTTTAGCAATGGAGAGACTGACATTGACTGGATGGGTTTAGCTTTGGAGAGACTGGCTTTAGCATTGATAAGCTGACTTTAGCATTGGTTAGACTAGCTTTATCATCAGAGAGACTGACTTTAGCTTTGGAGAGGCTAATGTTTAGCATACCTTTCCATGTCTCATAACAATATACAAGTGAATCTCACTTGTATTGCACATTACACTTGCACATTATTATTTTTATTTACCGTTATTTAACCAGGCAAGTCCTGTTGAGATTGCAGATCTCTTTTAAGGGAGGCCTGGGCCTGAAGGCAACCTATTGTACATGTTTTTAGGGGTGGGGGAAACTGGCGAACCAGGAGAAAACCCACACAAGCACGAGGAGAACATGCAAACTCCACACAGAAAGACTCCAGGTTCGAAGAGGGGTTTGAACCCAGGACCTTCTTGCTGTGAAGCATCGGTGCTAACCACTGAGCCATTGTGCTGCCACCTTGATTAAATTGAACTAATCAATAAACACAGTATATACAATCTGACAGATCTGGGGCATCATTTTTTTGGATTACAGATAAAAACCCTACCCCCAAAATAAAACCTGTGGACTAGATGAGCAAGAGCCTTTATCCATCGTGCTCAGGAATGATCAGATGACCTTACCTGGCTTGGTGTAGTTGCAGAGCACATGCGTGATGTTCCTATAGAGAGTTTCCAGAGCAGCAAAGTTGTCTACATAGAAAACTCTGGATTTGTCGTGACCAGTCATGATCTCCAACTGCTCCAAATTGGCTCCTTCTACTCCGATACTGAAGACGTTGATTCCTTTGTTCCTCAGCGCCAGCGATGGCTTCTCCAGATTGTTAGGGTCAGTGGCGTCTCCGTCTGTGATCACCATGAGGATCTGAGGTACCCGAAGTTTGGCTCGACCTCCATGCTCCTCGTTGAAGTACTGAAGAGAGTACTCCAGAGCTTTTCCGGTGTAGGTGTTTTTCTGTGGAGGCTTGAGGTCTGAAATAGCTTTGAAAACTTTATGTCTGGTGCTGTATGTGTTCAGAGTGAAGACAGACTTGGGGTTGTCGGAGTAGAGAATGACTCCAATGCGGGTGAGGTTTTTGCCAATGGTGGTTTGGTTTACCATGGACTGCATAAATTTCTGCATGCTCTTGAACTTGGTTAGGCTGATGCTGCTGGATCCGTCCACCAGGAAGATGATATCGGCTGTTTTCTTACAATCTGTTTGGAAATAAATGAAAGTCTGGTCAACTGAAAGAAATCTGAAATTAATCCTTCACCTTTAGTCTGTGCTTCCTCCTCTAACTTTAAAAAACAAACAAACAAAGAATTACAGATCAAACCTGCCAGCGGCTACCACAGCATTGTTATTTTTAGAACAGGATTAATGTCTCACCTCTTGTTGGATCGCACAGCTCCAAGGAAATCTGGCTTTCCAGGTGCTTCAAACCATCAAAGTCCTTCACAGAGTATATTCTTTCAGATGATCCACTGATCTCCAGCAGCTGGGCGGTGTTAGCATCCACCACTCCTATGGCATAGACCAGGACTCCCTTGGCCCTCAGTCTCTTAGCGGGACCTTTGACCTCATCTTGGGCCTCGCCGTCAGTAATCACTATAAGACTCTGTCGCAGATCTGGACGTCCTCCTTTGGCTGGGTCGAAGTACTGAGACACCTCAGTGATTGCTTCACCCGTCAGCGTTCCTTCGGCTATCTGCTGCATGTCGTTGATGCTCTTCAACATCTCATCTTTGGTAAAGTGGAGGTTAAGGGGGAACACGAGCTCCTGAACGTCGCTGAACTGCATGACGCCAACACGCACCTCGTTCTCCCCAATGAAGGATGCGTTGATGAGAGAGTTCATGAACTCTTTCATTTTGTCGTATTGTTCTGAAGAAATGCTCCAAGAGCTGTCAATCAAGAACAGGACGTCGCCTGGCTGGTTTTTGCAAACTGCAGACAGATGATCATAAACATGTTGGCATTCTTTGGTTTCTCTGCACATCATCAACCAGTAGGATAATTTTAGAGAGGAGCACAGCCCAAAACACACCAGGACCTATCTAAGATCATGCATTTTAGCGTGAACGCTAAGTCAGCACTTAAGAGTTCGATCTTTTTTGCTCTCTAATGACATATATCCACTTTTAGCTGTTCACATGTCATAATATCCTGCTCATTCAGGTGATGGTTGCTGTCACTTATTTTTTCTAATTTTTACACTTTTCAAAATATTGAACTTTAATAAAAAACATCGTCCCTGTAGAAATAAATTGAGATCTCTGCATTTCCTTCAAACACATGATGCAATCTGCTTTAGCTACTGCTCTGTTCTTGTCTTCTCATGCTGCTTTTAGCTACCATTTTGGTAACTTTAAGTTAACTTTAAGTTAATCCACAGCTATTTTTAGCCAACAGGTTCAAACTTTGAACCTGTTGGCTAAAAATAGAAATTTGAGAAATTTGGTGAATGCCACAAATTCTAAATCACTCGTATGCACAACTTAAGAACAAATCTATGTGTACGAATGGTTTTTGCATGTGGCCCAATGTTCATGTGTCTTGGAAAAATAACTTTTTTCCTCTGAAGTCCAACATTCTTCTCAGGTCAAGAGTCAGTGACCTCTTTTGCTTACCTGAAAATGTTTTATGATTCCACTCTTTATCCTCTGTTTTCTCTCAGATAAAGTGTTTCACAACCAGGACAATATCTGTTTAGAAGTAATCATTCTTGCTGCTAGTTTTATCAAATATCATTATCTCATTGACCCAGCTTTGACGCCAAGAGAGATGTTTATTGTCTGTTTGGATAACATTCTGTATAAATGAGTGTATTTAAGACTGCCTCATTGCACACATTTTGTACCACTGCCCGTGTGACATGATGTGTGTCTGCAATTGCAAATACGTAAATCCTGATTGACCATTTCTTGGAGTACTTTTTATTCTTGGACCACGTGTTTCTGTTTCGGTTGAATAAAGAATTCCACGACACATGCTCCCAACTCGTGATCAGAACTGAAAAACCTTTTTGGACCTCCACTTGTCTTTTATTGGACCACTTAGGATCCAGAAAGATCTAGTATTTTCTCATGATGACTCCTTTCAGTCAACAGTTTAGGTGGAGGTGTCATGGTGGAACTCAGACCATCAATCGAGACCTTTATAAATCCACTGATTTCCAGCCACCATCATTTCCACTTCATCATACTTTTGCTCATTAAAACATTTATGAAAGATAAAACTAAACTAAGTCTAACAAGTTGCTAACTTACCTTCTGTAGTACAGATGTCTCTGATTATGTCATCTCGGATCGGGATGAGGGCATCAAAGTCGTTGACAAAGAAAGTCTTCCTGGGGTTCCCGGAGATTTCGTCTAGCTCGTTTTTATTAGCGTTTTTCACACCAATGGCATAGATGGTGACACCCTGCTTCCGTAGAGCCTTTGCAGGAGCTTCGACCTTGTCGGTTGACTTCCCATCAGTGATGACCACCAGGTACTCTGCGACTTTATGGCCTCGAGTTGCCACTGCGTTCTTGAACAGAGGACCCATGAAGTCCAGAGCTTTCCCTGTCTCTGTCCCACCTCCTTCCTGTTGGATTGCCTCCACAGCTTTTTCCAAAGTTTTTGAATTTGTGTGTTTTGTTAGATCAAACTCCAGGGTCGGTGAATCTGAATACTTTACAATCCCTAAGCGAACATTTTCTGGTCCAATATGGAAGGTGTTAATGAACTCATGAATGAACTTCTTCATGTCCTGGAAGTCCGTTGGCTGAATGCTTCCTGAGTGGTCAATCAGGAAAAAAATGTCTGCTTCATTTGTTTGTACACAGCCTGCAAAGGAAACACAAACATGAGGTTGGTTCTCATAATCTTACCGAACCTTTAATCTGTAACAAATACTGAAAACGTAATTGTAGTTTTATGTAGTTTATTAAAACACTGGTTCTGACCTTCTTTGATGTCATTTCTTCTTGTAACAACAGAGACTGCTTGCTCTACGATGTTGTGGCAGAGTGTTTTCTTCAGGTTCTTCTCCAGAGCTTTCAGTTTGCTGAAGCTTTCCACAGTGAATACATAATTCTCTGAAGGATATGATGCTATCTGTCGTAGCTCCGCCTCGCTAGCATTTTGAACTCCCACTGCGTAAACAGTAACCCCCTCATGACGAAGACTAGCTGCTGCTCTGCTCACGTCATCCTGAGATTTTCCATCTGTGATCACCACTGCCACTTGCTGGACACCCTTATCCTTCCTACTTCCATTCTCGTCGAAGAAGACTTTCTCACGGGTATAATTCAGGGCAGCTCCGGTGTGCGTGCCCCCTTTTCGGTAAGGAAGTATTTTGACAAAGTCCAGCAGTTCAGTTTTGATGGTGAAGGTGTTCAGGTAGATATGTGCCTTAGGTTCTGTGTTGTACAGGACAATACCCACTCGGACCTTTGCTGGATCAATCTCTAGGCCGTTGATAACTGAGTGCAGGAAGGTTCGAACCAGCTGGAAGTTGGTGTCTCCGATGCTTCCGGACTCATCAACAATGAACACAATATCTGCCAGTCTGGCAGCTTTGCACTCTGCAAACAGATGCAAGAATTGGAACCTAAAAGACTTAAAGAGAACTCAAGGGCTGTTTTCAGAATGTTAGGCTGCAGGTTTTCACACACTGATTCATCAAAACATCAAACAGACACAGCCACACCACTACAGACTCGTTGTGACCTACATCATGAGGATAAAACTTTATGGCTGCTGTGTGAAAAGACCTGTCCAGAAGTGAAAAATCTGAAGTGTTTTTTTTTTTCTGTGGATTCTAGGTTTACTTGGTAAGCATTAAGAATGCAGCAGCATCAATACTGGCTCCTCACTTATTGGCTGTGATTCAGGCCCAGTCTAACAGGTCCTGTGGAAGATAGCAGGTCATCATTTAGTGCAGTATTGCCCAATCCTGGTTCTCCACGTCCAGCATCCTGAATGAGTTTCTGTGCTTTGACAAATTTGCTTTAGATGAAGGAGTAATTATCAGACTTCTGCAGAAACTTCTGTAGAGCAGAAAAACAGCTAAAACATGCAAGATGGTGGTCCTATGGAACCAGGATTGGGTACCCTGAATCTAGTGCGAGGAAGATCTTCTAATCATAAGAAGTAAAATTCAAAAGTAAAGTTTTGAAACAGAAATGAGCAGTAAGTCAATAAAGAGTGGTGAGTTTACCTTATAGACCTTCAGTAACCAGAGACTCAGGTAATGAAACAAAAACTGAGTGAAATCATGTAAAAACATTACAAATAGACGATCTTAAAATTTCTTTACCTCCAATCTGGAAAGTCTCTGTTGTCTCATTTTCAAAGATTTTCTGGAGCAGAGGCGCTATGTCCACGTTGAACTGGTAAACGTGCGGCGGAGTGGCTATCCTCTGTAATTGTATCTCTAATTCCCTTGTAATTGTGCCGAGACTCATTCCCACCACGGTTACTCCTTCTGATTGGATGATAATGGTCTGTTCATCCACAGAATCATCTGATTTTTTTCCAGTCAAAACAACCAGGAACTGTCGGTAGCCTTGGCCCGCTCGGCCTCCTGCATCTGTGGAGAAAAAGCTAGTGCTGGCGTACTTCAAGGCGGCACCCAGGTTATGAGGATCAGTGGGTGAAAGACCGGGTGACTGGAGAGTTCTGATGGCAGCCTGGATCTCTGCTTTGCTTTGGTACTCATTGAGGAGAAACTCCTCCTGCACCTGCGGACCATAGAAGGCCAAACCAAGTCGGTACCCAGAAGGTGTAAAGTCGAGCTGATTGGTCAGTTGGTTTAAGACGGTTCCGATATCCTGGATCTGGGATTGTGATAAACTACCATCCACAAGGAAAAACACGTCTGCAAACCTTTCCGCCAAAGCTGAAAGGAAAAAAGAAAATCAGTTCTGAAATTTAAACTATTGAAACTCTGAACCTGCTAACAGTTCAAGCATCAGAACTAGGAATGTGAACGTCTGTGGAAACTTTGTTTTACAGGTACATGAACGAACAGCTGAAGGTTTGGTCATGTCCTGCAGTTCTTTGTCTCACCTTGTCTCTGATCCTTCATGGAGACACAGACCGTCTGCAAAAGATTTTTTGTCAACCTCTGCAAGGCCTGGTAGCTGTCGATGCTGAACCGGAAGCGATCTGGTGGCCGGTTAGCGATGTACTCTAGTTGATCCATGTCTGCCTGTCCTACCCCGATAGCGAAGACGATGACCCCATGCTTTCGCAGATTCTGGGCCGGCATCTTAACTTCATCGCTGGAGGCCCCATCTGTGATGACCACAGCGATCTGAGGCACTCGCTGACTGGCTCGGCTCCCTGCCTCCTTTGTGAAGAACTGCGTGCGTAGGAACTCTATGGCTTTGCCCGTCTGTGTGTTTCCTCCTCGGTAGGGCAACTTGTCAACTGCTGCCAGCAGAGACTCGGGGTTCAAGTGGTCTTTCAGCAGAAACTCTGGGTGTGGGTCATCACTGTACTGAGCCAAGCCGACTTGGACCCTGTCTGGGCCGATGTCAAGGCCTGAGAAGACACTTCTCAGAAACTCTCTAACTTCCTTAAAGTCAGTTTCGCCAATGCTGGATGAGCCATCGACCAGGAAGACGATGTCAGCTACGGTGGCTTCGACACATTCTACAAAGGAAGAAGATTAAAGTCAGTCAAACCGACAAAAACACACCTGTCATTTTGATGAAATGTGGCCAACATCAGCAACAACGCGGACAATCGTTCTGTAAAAACTGGAGCTGGACTCAAGAGTTCATGGACAGAGAATGAAGCTGAGGGTTAATGGAACCATCAGAACCATCAGAACCCATTCAGTTTGTCTCAGAGTTGAGTGGTTCGTGTTGATCCCTCACAATGTTCGGCAGCTTCCTTTCTTAGTTTTAGGTCATTTTGTGTGATTTCTCTTAAAAGCAGAACTTTTTTTCTAAAATCAGAAGAAACTTGTCTTCTACTCAACTACGGGTTGGCCACATCATCAGGTGAATGAAACAAAGTTTAAAAAGGCAAAAATAAAAAAAGACAAACTGGAACCAGACATCAGAGTCCAGTAAGGTCTTCAGACTGGCTCTGAGAGACACAAGACCTGGTTTTCTACAGAACAATAAGTAGGAATGAGGTTTCTGGCACTGTCTGGACTTCCTGTCCTCCTGTCCAACGTAGGACATCCCCTCTTGTCACCTGGGAAATGTCCCTCTAGTCCCTGTCCAACAACAGATTGTGTCTCTGCCTGAACCAAAGCTCAGGTTTCAGGAGGTCAGTCTGGACCTGGGTACCTGCTGAGACCTGAACCAAAGCTTGGGTCTCAGGAGGTCATTCTGGACCTGGGTACATGCTGAAAGCTGAACCAAAGCTCAGGTCTCAGGAGGGCATTCTGGTTCTGGGTACTTAATGAGACCTGAACCACAGCTCAGGTCTCAGGAGGTCATTCTGGTTCTGGGTACTTAATGAGACCTGAACCACAGCTTGGGTCTCAGGAGGTCATTCTGGACTTGGGTACCTGCTGAGACCTGAACCACAGCTTGGGTCTCAGGAGGTCAT